TCCAACAGTGATGCATGCCACACGTTAAAGCATTATCATGGGGACAATCGACAATGTCCCGTGACATCAAGTCCCTAAATTGGATTCGTGGTCCTCCAAATCTTGTTTGGTTCACTCAATTTTAATATTATATTCAGTTTTTAATATTTCTTTCTTTCTTTTTCACTGTTCTTCTTTTCTTTTTTCTTTTTTTTTTTGGGTTTAAAATGTAATTATGTAAATAAACCTCTTTTTTCAACGTAATTATAGGATTTATAGCTATGCTACTCTGATCTATATCTTGCAGGTTGAATTTTGCACTTCTAGTCCAATTTGATTTTGAACCACCCTTGCACCTTCAATTCGAGCTCAATACGCAAGTACCCATACATCGAACCAGCCTTGAATTGGGTATAATTTTTAAAATTCGTCTCTATCCACTATCATTTTAAAAAACTCAATTTGAAAAATTCTTCACTACTGCTTCCCGTAAAAGTCTGGGCCGTATCTCATCCAGTGTAGTTGATCATCCTCTCGGACCAGACCAGCTACTGATCATTGCCTTGGTAAACTATTGCCTCACCGACTAGCTAATCAAACACGAGTCCCTCCTCGAACGGATTCCTCCTTTTGTTCCTCAGCCTACGGGGTATTAGCAGTCGTTTCCAGCTGTTGTTCCCCTCCCAAGGACAAGTTCCTACGGGGTATTAGCGTTCATTTAGGATGCATTTAGGTGAATACTTACAAGTCGGGTTACAATTTTCATCTCTATTGCCAAACTAAGGTCCTTGAAAAGATTGCATCAATGTGTCCATATATCACTACTGTTTTCTACTAGGTTGGTTGAGTTGACAAGAACCATTTATTTCGCTCAAAATACTTTATCTCTCACTTTCTAAGTATTGTTAAAGTGGAATGGATTTGAGTCACTTAAGTATATCTATGTACACAACAACATCCCTTCAGAGAGTTCGCTGCCCTAAATGAGATTCAATCGAAGTGCAGCTAGATTAGTCTCATATCACAAGATACAGATATTATTGCAATATGAAAATAAAATCAACAAACTTTGAAGTGTGGTCTAAAGAGGAGTAAGAGTAACATTATCCCCCTTGCCTCTAAACACTTTTGTGGAAGAAAACAATGAGACATATTGTAAGTGGACAAAGCTGTGCATGCATATATGTATGACATGAAACGAAATAATTGTAAGACGAACATGGTTCAATAGTATCTATCATCTATGCAATGCAAAGCTATTTTCTCTCCGCTCAAAGACAATACACCATTTCAACATCTAAATCTAAATAGAATAGAATAAAATAAAATAGAAACTTCAAGATGGGCCCTCAGCTCGCTAGTCGCTGCCAACTAAACAAAAGAAATTGCATTTTAGCACTTAATGGCCCAACAAAAACTCTAAAATGGTCCAAAACATTGGGCCTACCTTCCTACACTCTACAGTGAGTGAGTGATACTTGCCATCAAAGGAATAATCATTACTTTCAAAAATGCCAATTAAATAAATCATCCTGATTTAATAACCCAAAAAACAAAAAACAAAAAAAAAAAAAAAAAACAAATATTTCTTCTCCCAAAAGGTTGAATTTTCAATCCCAAATACCCTCCACACCCCGGCCTGACAAAGCATTTAGGATGATGTAAATCATGATGACTCGATGACTCAGCAGACAAAGCCAAATGTCGGTCCGCAAGAAAAACAAATATAGGAATATGAATTGGTGAATCTGATGGGGATGGAGAAATGGAATTCTAAGTAGGGATGGCAATGGGTCGGGTGTGGGTCGGGGAGGGCTACATCCATCACCCGACCCACCTTATATTTTCTCCACCCACCCCCACCTCCAACCCGCATCAGGTGGACTTTTTCAGAACCCACCCCACCCCCACCGGGTGCGGGTGCCCACTACGGGTACCCACCACTTATCATCTTATTATGTTTTTCAAAAAATAATATTTAAATTATTTACACATAATAAAAAAATAAAATCCATTAATGATACTAAAACATAAATAATGGAAATATTTAAATATAATAACTAAATTGTTAATTTTTAAAAATAAATTTAGTAGTTTTGATATAAAAAATAATAAGAAGATACACGAAGTTATATAAACTATTATAAATAACTACATATTAGTACTTATTTTACTATTATATATATATATATATATATATACACACACGCATGATGGGTCGGGTGGGGTTCTAGGCGGGTCTTGTACATAGAACCCGAATCCAACCCGACCCACCGCGGGTTTTCTTTTTTAAGACCCACCCCCGACCCACCACCCACCATCACCCAAAAAAACCCGATCCATGCAGGGTGGATTCGGGTGGTTATTCACGGGTCGGATTGAAATTGTCATCCCTAATTCTAAGCAATGCATGAATAGTGGCAAATCCGTGTTTAAATTTCTTCTTTCTGTGCATAAAAATGACAGGAATGAAATGATTTCTTGTAACACAACCCATATAACACCAGTGACATTAAAATCATTGGACTGTGTGTAGCGTGTGTGTATATAGAAGAAATAAAGACTAATCATTAAAAAAAAAAAAAAAAAAAAAAAAAAAAAAAAAATACATTACAAATAAAAGGAGGGAGATTGTGTCCCAAATTCCTGGACTAGACATAAACCTAACCGCTCGAGCTAACTCATGAGTTGCACAATTCATTAGTCTTCGAACATAAATACATCTAGTGTACTACGGACTCGATGTGTATATATATGACCTTTTCAACAACTTGTGCTCGGTTCACAAAATGAAAACAGACAAAATAAGATTGAATACTATTCTAGAGAGAATGAAATATGGGTGAAACATAATAGAATAGAAACTCTATTTCATTGATTGATTAATAGAAGGAATACATCACCTGGGATAGATGTGATTGATTGGAATCATCCATCCTTAATCAAAGGTCAAGGGTTTGATCATTGACTTTGGATATATGGCAACCTTAAATCTCCAGGTCAGTTGTCCTACCAAATAGAAGTGTCTACAATTCAAAGAGATGATTAGTCACTGTGTTCAACAGTAGAAACTCTAAGCTACACCCAAAAAAATAGAAGGAATAGATACAGAATTTCTAAGAGCATCTACATCAATGCTTTTTTTGTGGTTTTTGAAATAATAAAAATTAAGTGTGTAGTTTTTGCACAAATAGGGGATGGAGTTTTTTAATGTTTTTTTTCTCCTGCAAATGCAAGACTTCTGTGGGATCCACTGATTGAGAAATAGAAACAAAACTCTCCACTTTTCGCCACGTGCTGGAGTCGTAGGCGCCCAGTTTCCTTTTAGTGTCAGGCCTTTTTTCTTTTTCTTTTTCCTTCTTCTCTCTCCCTCCTCTCTCTCCTAATTGTCATCTAAAAAATCGTGAAATTTTGGGGCCGATGAGGATGCTCTAAAGAAATGATATTTTAATATTTTGTTAATTAAAAGAATAGAAAGGAAAAAATTGTGAAATGACAAGAGTACTCATACAAAGAGTATATAAATAAATATCAATAAATACACAAATACACACACCAAACTAATATAAGGAGGCTCATGGAAATGGTCATTTCTATTGCAATAGAAATAACAAATTCTGTAAAATAAAAACAAAAAAATGAACCAAACAACAAAATAGATATATTCTATTCGATCTAGTCCACAAAACAAACACCTCGAAAATAATTGGAAAAAAAAAAAAAAAAAAAAAAAAAAAAGGAACTCAATTCGTTTTTTAACTCCAATCAATTCTCATCTCCTTTTAAAACCAAAAGAAAGGAAGATAGGGGTGTGTACTACTCACAAACGTGGACCAAGGGTCCAGAAGCACATATCAAATAAATCATGGCCCAGCGTGTGAATAGATGCAGCAGTATTCATCAAGAAAGCTAGTTGCTCACATTCCTGCAAATCAATTGGCTCTGCTAATTCTGCATTTAAAAAAAAAAAAAACAATATAATTAGGCAAAGGACATGATCTCTGATATTAGACAAAATCAATACCACGTGTCCATGCCTGATTGGACAAGTTCAATCAATCATTGGACCAGACTAGCCTAGCACCTTCACTTCCCAATGACACATCCCAAGAAAACAAAAAAAAATACAAGAATCGTCCTTGCTTGAAAGGGACTTCCAATAAAGAGAGATTGATTAATAATTACACACCGTCAGATATGTATGCATTTTGTATCTGTAATTGTAATTCACAACACACAACCACTGGAGAAGCCAGTTGGGAATATTTCTGCACAAATAAATGTGCAAGATAATGATGGGTTTTGATGGATGAATCTGTGAGCTGGTGATGATGAAGAAATGGAATAAGTCAATAAGCACATGCCATCACCAAAATTGCAGATAATAACTGGATTTCTTGAGCTATATTCCAGCAAATTTGGCATGAGAATAACAAAACTCACGGCTCAGTACTTACTGATTCAGCCAACCCCGAGGTAGTTAGATCTCCAAGTCTACATCTTCACAGTTCACACTATTTAGCAACAATAATGAAGAAATATATACATATTTAGTTCCACAAATAATTAATTATATGATATACATAATCTAATGACTAGTTGATGACAGACAGGTCTGCTGACTGCCCAACTAATTGCACTCTAATGGAAAAGTAGGGGAATTAGAGATAGCAAATCTTAATACAGATACCACCACAGTTCATCATAAATGCTCTTCATATGACTCTTGTACTATGCTATTGATGGTCACATTTTTCTCTCCCATATAATAATGCATGGTCACATTAAAGTTTGAAGTTTGTGTGTAAAGTTAAGACCAATGGGCAATAAGAGAAGTTTCCAACAGCTATCACCTCTCTTTCTGTACAATTCACCTATCATACTTAATTACTTTTAGCTCATTTTCACCTATCTTTTTGTACAATTCACTAATCAGATTTTAGTATTTTCCAGCTATCTTAACCTCAAAGCCTATTCTACACTACTATTACAGACCCTCAATTAGGAAAAAGTATGGAGCCAGTGGTCCTCACATATTCTTTACCTTTCATCTTTCCTTCAAGTTTCCCATTCTTCATCTTCTTCTCTTCTCCTGCTTGAGTTACTTCTTCCCAACTTCTTTTACCATCAAAGAAATGGAAACAAGCAAACCAGAGGGGAAAAGAAGCATAAATGAAACTGACTCGGTGGCAGAGGGGGGAGAAGATGAAGACGAAGATGTTGAAGAAGACAACAAAAAGAAAAGAGCATTGACTCTATCTGGAAGGAAGTTAACTGGTGGAGGGTCAACACAGCTGTTCTGTCAGGTGGAAGACTGCACCACAGATATGACAGATGCCAAGCCATACCATCGCCGCCACAAGGTCTGTGAGATTCACGCAAAGGCTCCGTCAGTACTTATAAATGGAGTCCAACAGCGCTTCTGTCAGCAATGCAGCAGGTTAAGAAACCTAATTTCACAAATTTTTCTTCTATCTCACTGTTTCTCTGTCCTGCCTTTGATAAAAATTGTAACAAGGCAATATATATATACATGCCCATTTAGAGTTCTAAGTTGAATTCATAATGCTTGGTGTGCTAGCATATAAATTCAGTTTCCCATCACTGAAAAAACATGTTTCTTAAACCACTCAAGAGAAACAGTGTATAAATTACACAAACAGGACTGCATCCAAGTTAAAACAGGCAACTAGCCAACTACTAGTAATTTATTGAACAAATTCTTAGCGTGTTTCATCATGGAATTATGTCCGGATGTGTTCATCATGCAAGCTACCTTAATTCAAATATAAGAAATTGATCAATAAACAAGGTAAAATATATTATTTGCCATTCTCTTCAATTCTGTTGATCTCTTTAGTACTAAGTTCCCCCATTCCCTCCCATCTCTCTCCCTAAAATGCAGGAAGTAAACATAACTTCCTGCAAAATGTGCAATCATTGATATAAAATAACATTTGTAGTGCAAGTTATCGTGCATTTATTAATGACTAGCTAGATAAGAATATATAAGTGTGCAAAGGGCAGAGGTTTTTCTTCTTACCATTATGTATATTCAGGTTTCATGAATTAGCCCAGTTTGATGAAGCTAAGAGGAGTTGCCGGAGGCGATTGGCAGGTCACAATGAGCGCCGCAGGAGAATTACATATGATCCTCGTGGTGAAGGGTCAACCTGAAGACGTAATACCAGTGGGGGGACAAACCAACTCCTTATTGGAACTCATAAGAAGATTGGTCTCTGAACCACATAGCTTATCAATGTAATTTCTAGCATGCTCTCTATCTTCTGTCAATTGCTAGACTTCAATTACAAATCATTGCCTCTATGTGTGGTTTGTAATTCATTCAGCCTCCATCCCCTCTCCCAGTGGGAGGGTGATTCAGGGGAGCATTATCATTTGGATGAAGTTTCCTATATCTTATTATCATTTGAGGCTTGAACATCTCACTCTGCTAGTATATATTCGCCCACCAACATCACAAGTATCTCTAGATCTCAAACAGTGCTTAGCTTCATACTAGAAACTAGCCCTGCAATTGCTTTTGCCTGTGCAAGATAATACTTGGCATCATGTTAGTACATCCATCACTTGGCACTTTAACATTAATAACTATAGAAGTCAAGCCTTTGAGTTCTCGTAAACTTAAACTCAACCACTCAATTGGAAATTAAGCCAGTAGGAACATGGATATGATGCTGGAAGGCAACAATATTTTTATCAATTACTGCGTATTTATTAGATGTTTTAGTTAGATTAGAATTGTTTGATAGTTAGTTGCTTAGTTTTTTAGGTATTCCAATTTGATTCAATTAGAAGTCTTTCTACTAATTAGTTATCTAGTCTTAAAGTGATTATTAGTTATGGCATTCTTGTATTTCTCCTATATAAAAAGTGAGAATTAATTGGATTAATGGGGAACATAATTTTAAATTCCAAAAGGGGGCTAAGGGAGTTTTGGGTCTCAAGCAAACCCAGCCAATGTGGCAAGACACTTCTTCCTATTCCTCCTTCTGCCCGTGACGGAGACCATAACATTTGGTCTTTCGGACAATCCAGCATTCAAAGCTCTCAAAGAATCAGTGAATGAGTTGGAGAAGTTAATAAAAGAGTACTGCATACAACGTCTCAGAGAATTAGGCAAAGATGACAGTGAACTATAGCAGTCAATAACTAAATACCTAAAAACCCTAGGCAAAACACCGAAAACCAATACACCCACTTCCTCAAAAATTCAGCAAGCTGAGGGTGATGTTATTTCACTCAATGTGGATGATCCATCCTCCACAATTATTAATCACCCATTTTGAGGTAGCGCCAATGCAAGCTAATGTATCGGCCGATCAGCCTCATGTGGGTGATAATTCAACATGGAGGGCTGCTGATTTTCCAGAAACTGATGATGTGTCCTTTCTAAAAACTATCTAGTGCATGGGAGGGTTATTTCACCACTCTACCGCCCCATCTCATTCCATCAAGGTTGTAAAAGGTGCCTAGGTTTAGATCCACTAGATCGATGGCTAGCATTTGCCCACACTTCTTACAAGATGCTTTGTTCTCATGGGAGTCAGACCCTATATATATGTAGGACCAGGTTCACATGAGAACAACCTCCCAAGTGAGAACTGTGGACAAATCTGATCCATCCATCTAGGATGATCAAACGCTGAAAATCAATGAAAAAAGAGAAAAAATGCAGTGACATTTATGTAATTATGATTGTGCATTTAGAAATGTTTGACAGTGCATTTGGAAATGCTTTCAATGCATGAAATGCGTTTATGTTCGTTTATTAAGGTAAACAAACATAAATGAACAAATTTTAGAGCTCATTTAATAAGTGAACAGAGTCTGAACATTTGTAGGCTCGTTTGCTAAGAGCTCATAAACAAGCTCGTTAGTGTTTGCTTAATAATGTTCATGAACAAGCTCGGGTTAGTGTTCGCTTAATAATGTTCACGGACATGCTCGTTTAGTGTTCGTTTAAGATTGTTAAATGAACAAACTCATTTAAATACAAGTGTTGATTATGCACAATTTGTGCTCATTCCGGAAGGAGCTTTGCTAATTAGGACGAAAGGAGGAAAATATGAAAAATACTATTTCTTATTCACGAACGAATTATGATCATGATCATGTACATGTTTGTTTATTAGCGTTCATGAACGTGTTCGCAAACGTTAACGAACATGTTCGTGAACGTGTTTTAAAACCTTAACGAAATGAACACGAACATGAACACTCCAAAAATCTTAACAAACGACGTTAACAACCCTAGTTATCTTATCTAGTGATTGGAGTCTTGTATTTTCCCTATTATAAAAAGGGAGAACTCATTGCATTAATGGAGGAGGAGAATTTTAAATCTCAAAAAGGGGCTAAGGGAGTCTTGGGTCTCAAGCAAACTCAGCATTTGAGGTGTGGCAAAACACTTCCTCCTATTCCTTCTTCTGCCCATGACGTAAACCATAACAGCCAGCTTTTAACGTATAACATGTACCAATTAAGAGATATGCAACTGAACATCAATAAAGTCTCACCATTTATCATTAATCACTTAAAAGCACTACAAGATGAACCACAGAAGCCATGAATAATAATCAGAAAAAAGGTAAAGATGAGAGCAAAAGTTGTGTACCCGAAGCAATCTGCATCAGTGAACAACCTTGAAATTTTTACTCATACCTTTTGCCTTTCCATTCCACAAGTTCCACAAAGTTGAGTAAAGGGTAAAAATCTTAAAGTGCTTCAAGCAACATAGCTGCACATGCATTTCACATAACAATCCTATCCTATTTCCAACAAAGACCACAGAACACTGGAAAGCTACTAATTCAGAAAAATGGTTTAGAGAGAATAGTTGGAACTATATTGAACGTCTATTTAAATTCAATTTGGTGCTTCAAAGATTTAGTATAAAACCTCAAAAATGTTGCATTCCTAGATGTTAGGTCATAGAAAAGAATTTTTTTGACAGATGTAAGAGATTACCTTCCCTTTATTGCTCCATTTTTTAGCATATTTCCGACATTCTTCATGAAGCAAACTTAACAGATACTCCAGAGCTTAAGCAACCATTTTTTTTCCACCAACCTATGTAAGTATTTTCTGAAAACTTATGCACATTCATGATCATCATTAAAATTGTCAAATATAATATAGCAAAAGTTTGAATATGGAGCATAAATTTCTATCTACTGCAAAACAAATACACACAGAGAACTGTGGTCAATTCTCAAGTACCCTTAAAAAGAGGAAGCTACAATGATTTCTGTCTGAAGTCTATGCCATGTAAAATTCAGTATTTTCAAGTTTCAACAAATGACCTTTACATACAATATTTATATGACAACTGTTTACAACTTAACCTATATCAGAGTTTGTAATCACACAATTTATCTGCAGAGTCATGCACAGTGTATACATAAATAAAAAATAGCAATAACCGAAAATCAAGTGCATCATCAATCATGAGTTTAGCTGTATTAAGAATCAATGTTTTTCCTTTCAAAAAAAAGAATCAATGTTTTCCATCACCATGTAACAAGAATTGTCTGACTTCTTTGAAATTGCAATGAACAGCCATCATGCAAGAACCATTCCAGATAAAATCTCTGATTATTCATTAGTTTCAAAAGACCAAATCAAGTTCTCGTGTATTGCAAGCATTTTGACTATCATCCAGGACTCAAAAAAGCATGCTTGACAAACACAATGTCATGCTAATGATTCTCCAACCTTCTGAAGACAAAAGGCTAAATTTCTTGCAGAAGAAACAGCCAATACTCTGGAATTGATCAAATTTTCAGTTTCCTTGGAAGATCCTTTGCTGTGATGTGCATTTTGAATCAAGTGAAATGTCATGTCAGATTAGTTGAACCATAGACCGGCCATGTCAATGTCGAATCTTGTCATGTGACAAACTTAGGTGTTAGGTGACAGCCTCTAAAGCATTAAGCCAATGGCATCAGAAGAAATACCTAACAGAGTAGGCAATCAATTTTGCAACAGTTTTAATCACGTTTGATCCCTAAGATCTTTGCAGATACCTCCCAGGTAACTATGGCAGCAGCATTGGCAGGGAAAGCCCTAACCAGAGTAGGGCCTAAACCTGTATAGCATCCTCTAAGGCCGGATAGCCTGTAAATCTAACATAAAGAACCAATCATGCATTCTGTATTAAAACTATCTCATGATGAAAGCAGAAAGGATTAGGATAAATACCTTTTGTAAAATCTGAAAAGGATTTCTTGTATGGTTTATATCAGGGGAGGTTTGGATTATAGTTTTTGCGACATCCAATGGCAGAACAGCAGACCAACACTGAAAAGCCCAAAGTTAAACGAAGAAATTTAAGCCAATATGGCACACATCAAAACAAAAAAGGTTGAACATTTGAATATGTAATACTAAGTAACAAAAGAATACACACCGCTATACCACCAAGGCCACCACTCATTATGCCAACTCCCACATCAACCAATTGATTTGACTCAGATGAAGCCCCTTTCAATTGCAGATGCATTTGATAACGTACATATTCGTATGTACTAAAAAAAACAACATTTCCCACAGATTCTCTTAACAAGGTCGTGAAGCCTCCTTGAAAAATGCCTGTAAACTGAGGAGTTATTCTGTTAGCTTCAACTAAATCAGATAGCAAAATAGCCTTGAGCAGAGTTTTCTTACCCCTCCTGTTTTTACTGTTTTAATGGCACAATCAAGAGGACCACTGTATCTGGTGGAGTTCAGTAACAGAGAATCTGTGCCCTGAACTTGTATCCTACACTGGAGCACATAACTTCAATATAATGACACTGCAGCAAGATGATGGCAAGAACCCATGCATATGACTTACCTTAATCAGTTCTGAGGGGCACAATATAAAGCTGATTATACTTCCAGCTAAAGCTGCTGATGGAATTATTACATGAGGCTGTGGCTTACCACCTTCGAGTCCTCCCTTCAAGAGCAAAGGGAAAATGTTTATCTGGCATTCAAAGCATTTTGATGCAAGAAACATAGGCAAAAAAATAGCTAAATTGAAGAGACCTTTCTCAGAGACGATCTTTGAAACAAATAGCATTTAGGTTATCCAAATAATAAGCATAGAACAAACCTGAAGGAACCTTTTTGTTTGTGAATAAATGCCAAAAGCAAGTGAGCTTTCGAAAGCCATCCCAACAAAAGAAGAGGTTGCTCCTCGGTAGAGCCCTTTCATCTGTGAAAAAGTAATTGTCAGTTAGTGCCTCGAGGATTCCCTCCAACCAACCAACAAAAGGACAAAAAGGAGGGGAAAAAAAAAAAACTTTTGGGGAGAAGAAGAACAACTAAAAGCCACATGAACCTATTTAACTTGAAAGATAATAAGAACCAATAGAGAAAGTTCACGAAGGATAGAAATACACTTTCCATTGGAGGAGAAGATGATAAAGATTATGAAAAATCA